CCCGCCTTGGCCTCCCAAAGTACTTCAATTACAGGTGTGAGCCATCACAGCTGGCCACCATTACCATTTGACATTGGCCAATTCTAACTTGCTCTGGGGTGTCTTATCAAAATTCATGAGTATTGTTTGGGAGAGGACTAGGAATTTAATCCTCCACTTTTCCTCCCTTGTTAAGTGACCTTCAGGTAGAATGAATCTTTGGTTGTTGATGGTCAGCATTCATTCAGAATGTTCAGTAGCCATGCTGACCAGCTATTTAATATTTTTAAGATTCTCTCCTCAAATATTAACATTCCTGCAATAGAAGCTTACAGAGAATGGTGACCTTTTAACCTGAATAATCCACCTGAGAATTCACAGAACCTAAATATCAGTTTGTAAGATTCTTGGGGGCCCACTGACCTCTACATTCTTTCTGGAAATAATATGAAGAAATAAGGTCAGCAAAAACTCAAAACAGAAGGTTTATAGAATTGATGCTGCTACTGTAATTCAAAAGACAAGAGTTCCCTATGCCTTCATCCAGTGATTCTCAACCAGGGGGATGCTTGACACTTAGGGGAAATATAAGAATTCTCAGGTGCAGGGGAGAGGATAGAATATACATTCTAGGGCCAGGCGCAGTGGCTCATGCCTGTAATCCCAGCAATGTGGGAAGCCAAGGTGGGTGGATCACCAGGTCAGGAGTTCGAGACCACTCTGGCCAACATGGCAAAACCCCATCTCTAACAAAAATACAAAAATTAGCTGGATATAGTGGCAGGTGCCTGTAATCCCAGCTACTTGAGAGGTTGAGGCAGGAGAATCACATGAACCCGGGAGGCGAAGGTTGCAGTGAGCTGAGATCGTGCCATTGCACTCTCGCCTGGGCAACAAGAGCTAAACTCCATTTCAAAAAAAAAAAAATTATATATTCTAGGATTGAACATGTTTTTTCAAAGTATTTAATATATATGTAATATGTACGTTATATTATATATAATATATATTTTGTTTTTTAACTCCATCTTAAAAATACATATGTATCTTTTTTTTAAGACAGAGTCGTGCTCTGTTGCCCAGGCTGGAGTGCAGTGGTGTGATCTCAGTTCACTGCAACCTCTGCCTCTCGGGTTCAAGTGATTCTTCTGCCTCAGCCTCCTGAGTAGCTGGGATTACAGGCGTCCACCACCAAGTCCAGCTATTTTTGCATTTTTAATAGAGACAGAATTTCACCATTTTGGCCAAAGCTGGTCTCAAACTCCTGACCTCAGGTGATCTGCCTGCTCAGCCTCCCAAAGGGCTGGAATTACGGGCATGAGCCGCTACGCTTGGACTAGAAGATCTTTTTTAATATTTGAAAAATAAATGAGGCATTTTGTTTTTATCATGTGAACTAAATGAAGTAAAACTGAACCTGGGCAACAAAATGAGATTCTGTCTCTGCAAAAAATTAGAAACAAAAAAGTTAGTCAGGGCAGGGCACAGTGGCCCACGCTTGTGATCTCAGCACTTTGGGAGTGGAGATCCGAGGCGGGAGGATCACCTGAAGGTCAGGAGTTTGAGACCAGCCTGGCCAACAAGGTGAAACCCCATCTCTACTAAAAATACAAAAAGTAGCCAGGCATGGTGGCAAGTGCCTGCAATCCCAGCTACTCGGGAGGCTGAGGCAGGAGAATTGCTTGAACCTGGGAGGCAGAGGTTGCAGTAAGCCAAGATTGTGACACTGCACTCCAGCCTGAGGGACAGAGCAAGAT